GGATTTCTTTTGAATTTTCTGTTTCCGCATCTTCAATAAAGTCATAGTCCAAAATTTTCAGTGAACTTCTTACCTCTACGCCTTACACATCTAGGGCCATATAATTATGAGGCCAGAGTGAAATTCTAGGTTAATTAGCTATCATGACTAAATTGAGATATAAGTTAATTTTTCGTCATGATTCGCATTTTGTTGTGACCTTTTATCCTGTTTTTCATAACATACTATACTAACTCGAACTAGGATTCAACATTAGATTGTATTATCGATATTTTTTACTCGTAACCTTTCCCTTTAGATAGGCATCAATGACTTTATTAATGCTAACCTGCATGTTCGGCAACAATTTACAATTTAGCTTCACTGTCCCAAGTTTGGCTAAATTTTGGGACTAGTGTTCGTCTCATTTTCAGACGATAGCATCAAGAGGATTTCTTTAGGGTCAATAATCCTAATCATTCTTGCCGGCAATCATTGCACTACAGCATGTCTCTATTTGCTGCCATATAATATCTTATTTTCACTCGCTTATTCTTATACATCTACAAAAAATGCCCAATTGCATTTGATTTTATTACTTATCTAGCGTCTAATATAGCCTCAAAAATTGATTGCATTCGAATTCGGATTGTGTAATGTCCTAAGTTCATGGTCCTGGCTATGGTCTTGCCGAGGGAGTCACCCGACTTAGCTGTAATGAGTCATTCCTTTCTTCTGCCCTGGGCCATAGCCTTCGTTGACCTAGCTTACCACTAGGCATCCCGTCCTACATACACCCAGCCCGTTACTTGGCCATTTATTGGACGCTTTGCACATAAAGGCTCTATAATTTGTCTATATTTATCTATTTGTGCTGCTTTGTTTATATTTATTCTTATTCTTGCTATTTTACCCTTGCCTTATTGCCATTTAGCTTAGATTCTGAACAGATTATGGTTCTTAATTGCCCATAGTTTCATATGCGTTTACTTGCTTATCGTTCACAATTGCCCCTACCCTGCGACCTATTCCTATTTGTTCGTTCTCAGATAAGTGGCACATGTCTTCAGAAAATTATCACGGTTGCTACGTTCTATTCTCTAGCAGTCGGCTTAATGTTATAATCATAGGTTTGATACTGCTAGGAATTGGTGCACTACCCAATACATTTTCATTTTGAATTTGCCTTTAAACCTTTCGCTTATTTTTAACTCGTCTGCATTTATTTTTTCAAGCTCAAATTCCCTAGGGCTACTGCTTGATCTTACTTTGTACAATTCATTATATGATTAAATCGGAATTATACCAAAACTTAATACTCTTACTGATTTTTTTTGATGTAAATTCCATTTTAGAGTTAGCGAGAGTCAGCGCGAAACTCTTGGCCTAGACTCGCCTATCGTCTCCATCGAACTACATCCTAACGGTGGTCATTTGTTGCTTGGTTATGCTGGTGGATGTGTTGCTGTCTCTGTACCCCAGCCGGTACCCCAGGTTTCTTCACTACAAGAACACATTAGGGAGACCGAGCCTGAGGCGGCTGTTCCTATATCTACTAAAGAAGTCGACGTTCCTGAATGTCGAGAAGAATCAAGTCCTGCTGGGGACGACAAGACACAAGAGGTCAAGGACGAGCCAACATCTGGACCTAAGGAATTAAAGAAGGAAGAAGTGGTCAAGGAAGAGAAAAAGGGAAAGAAAAACAGCATTGGCGCTGGTGTTTCTAATGTCCTACCAGTTAATACTGGTAAAGCAGCGGCTGCTAAGATCAAAACGTTAACACGGACTTTACGTGGTGTATCTGAGGCAAAATCTGAGGTTGGCTTATGTTTGCTAGATCATTGCGTTCAAGTTTTACCATTAATTTTATCAAGTACTTATGCTCTCAATAGCGGTCTCATATGTCTAATATTGTTTATTACTG